GAGGATATCATTGGATGTGGGATTCCCGCTTGTTTAATTATGGAAGCTGGGAGGTATGTGCTTTCGTGCATTCTTTCTTTAAATAATAGCGCACTGTGAGAAATTTGGTCCTTAATCTTTTGTTTATCCTATGTTTATGAGGTACTGAATTTAACTTTCCACGTAGGTTTTGAGGTATCTTCTTTCCAATGCAAGGTGGTGGCTGGAAGAATACAAGTTCGATGGGTTCAGATTTGATGGTGTGACTTCAATGATGTACACTCACCATGGATTGCAGGTACCCTTTTAGTTTTCACTGAAGTTTTAAGTTTCAATGGAATAGTAATTATTCCTACAAATTTTGATGGAAAACTTCCATGATTATTTATCCTCAGCACGTTGACCGAAAAATAAAATCTATTGTCAGCATAATTTTATATTGATTTTGATGTCCAATATCAGTCTCGGTATTCCTATTGGTACCTCTGTTGCTGCTACTACTATTCGAGTTTGGTTTTATTTTTTCCATTGATAGGTTCTTATATTTATGTGTTTGTTGGTTGAGCTTGCTGTAGGTAGCATTTACTGGAAATTACAGTGAGTACTTTGGATTAGCTACAGATGTAGATGCTGTGACTTACCTGATGCTGGTTAACGATCTGATTCACGGGCTTTACCCTGAAGCTGTTACTGTTGGTGAAGATGTATGTTAGCTATTCCCTTTCATAAGTAATGTTGAGCATCCTTTGTTGCAATTATCTCCTGAGTATTAGATTTAGATTTCATAGTGCACTGAACTGAATAACCTGTTTGCTAGGTTGGGTAGCTTGAAATAAGAAAATTAAAATATTTCCAATATTTCCACTAAGTTATATAAGTTCTTAAAACTTTTTGTATGTTTTTCTATTTCTCTCATCCTCTTTTCCCCTGATCATTAAGACATGGAAGTTCATGTAGTTTTACCACTATTTCTATTCAAACAAGCATTTAATTCAGCGTGTGTTGAGTTTATAACATTTAATATTTCTCATTAGAAAAGAAAAATACACCCAGATTTGAATTTCAAACGAAATTGACCTTGCTTGAGGAAGGTTTTGTAGAGGAGTTTATTGTTATATATAAAAACAATAGCCATAAACATTTCCAGCTTTGTATCGTCACTCGTTAGCTGATTAACAAGTCAAATTTATCCTAATTCTATTCAATTCGTTTAAAATATTAATGATGGAAATGTCACTTTTATAGATTGTTACATTGATTATGAATATTTCTATTATTTCAGGTTAGTGGAATGCCAACTTTCTGTGTTGCTGTTAACGATGGTGGTGTTGGATTTGATTATCGCCTGCAAATGGCTATTGCTGATAAATGGATTGAGCTCCTTCAGTAAGTTGTGACGAAAATCTCTCTGATCCATTTTTGAAGTTAGACGGGTCCTGCATCTCTGATGGAGGTGGCATTTGTGAATAAAACCAATCAGCTTTTGCTGACTTATTATCGCACAAAATTTGATGTAGGAAAAGGGATGAAGAGTGGAAAATGGGTGATATTGTTTTCACACTCACCAACAGAAGGTGGCGGGAGAACTGTGTTGCTTATGCCGAAAGTCATGACCAAGCTCTTGTTGGTGACAAAACAATTGCATTTTGGCTGATGGACAAGGTTATATAAGTTTTCCTTGCATATTACGTAACTTGAAGGATATGTATACTTTTGTTTCTTGTATTAGAATTATCTATCTAAATATATTTTTCTCTCAGGATATGTATGATTTCATGGCTTTGGACAGACCATCAACTCCCCGTATAGATCGTGGAATAGCATTACATAAAATGATTAGGCTTATTACTATGGGATTAGGCGGAGAAGGATATCTGAATTTCATGGGAAATGAATTTGGCCATCCTGGTAAACTTAGTCCAAAACGTTATACTGTGTATCATCATTCTGTCAAGCTGGCACTCATTTCGAGTTTTTGTTTCCTGTTCAGAGTGGATTGATTTTCCAAGAGGTGCTCAACATCTTCCAAGCGGTAAAATAGTTCCTGGGAACAATAACAGCTTTGACAAATGCCGACGTAGATTTGATCTTGTAAGTTCTTTTAAATCCACATGTTCATTGCTATATACATAAGATGCATGCCTATTAGTGTAACAAGAATTTATGTTTAGTTTGGGTGGTGGTAATTGATGCAATGCATGATATGTGGAGGCAAGGTAATATATAGGCTAGTTAAGGATGAACTTGGAACCAGAGGGCACTTTAAACTATTCCTAAGAGACTTTTTAGTTGCACCAAAAATTGAACAGGCTAACATAATACAAGCAAAAGCTACTTGTAGAGGAAGTACAAATTACTGACCAAGGTCAAGTTGATTAGTAACCTAATAGCATAGATATGTTTGATCTTGACTTTGCTATCAGCCTATCACTTGCAAATTTCTAACCTAATAGCATCTCTCCGTTGAGTTATCCTTGAACGTTTATGTTGCACGTGAAGTTCTTGAACTACTATTTTCTTATTACAGAACTTTGCATATCCATTTTCGTATTCCGGGTTCTTTGTTTAAGGGTAATTGACCTTGCAGCAGATAATTGTGCATAACTTTCGTGGCCTCTGGTTGGATTGTGTGTTTTATGAAATTTGTTGGTTATGCATTGCCAGGGGGATGCTGACTATCTAAGATATCACGGGATGCAAGAATTTGATCGAGCAATGCAACATCTCGAAGAAACCTATGGTGTAAGTTTACATAACGTCTACGTGTGCCAGTTACTTAGGGCATAGGTTATGCCACTTGTTATCTGTTAAATTATAGTATGAAAAATTGGTCAACTGTTGATGCAGTTCATGACTTCTGAGCACCAATATATATCACGGAAGGATGAAGGAGACAGAATTATTGTCTTTGAAAGGGGAGACCTGGTTTTTGTCTTCAATTTTCATTGGAGTAAAAGCTATTCAGACTACCGAATTGGCTGCTTAAAGCCAGGAAAGTACAAGGTATTTCCTCTACAAAGTTCTATGAAGCCCTCGTAGTTAGCTTGCCAAATACACTAGTTGCTTTCCACGCTCTCACATTTTCCGTCTAGAATTGATCTTTATTGGCCGAGCGCATGTCACAGAACTCATTTTTTCTTTTTTGTTTCATATAATAATGCCGCGTTGCTCCTTCCAGATTGTCTTGGATTCAGATGAAAAGTTATTCGGGGGCTTCGATAGGCTTGATCACAGTGCTGAGTACTTCACGACTGTAAGATATGCAGACTTCGCGTGAGTATTTCACGGCTGTTAAATATTACTAAACCTCGTTGTGATCTGCAGGATGGGTGGTTCGATGACCGGCCTCATTCTTTCCTCCTCTATGCACCTTGTAGAACAGCTGTGGTCTACGCTCTCGTAGAGGGACCTAAAAAAGGCTGAAAACGTCTACATCTTGCTGCGATCCTAAAACAGACGCAATGTACATTAGCTAATAAAGCGCCGCCCCTGTGGAATTACGCTGCCACCTTCAGCAGTTCTGCTACGCCAAAGTCGGAAGAACGAGATTAACAAAGTAAAGGCTAGAAGTTAAACTGCTAAGGTGAGAGAGTTTAGGCAGAGTTTAGGAGACCAGTCTCTACTATAAGCCTATAAAAAAGTAGACTAATATATGGCAGTTTGAGACAATTACTTCTGTAATTATTTTTCCAAGCTAGGGATTTTCTAATGTATATATAGCATGTAGCAGAATATGGTGTTGCATTTTAGGCTTATTTGTTGATTTGCCACCTAAAATTGTTATTTAGTCTCGTTTTACCCCCTTGAAACTTGTTTTGACTCACTTTGGCACCCCTAGTCTTAGTTCACCCAATTTTCATCAATTCCGCCAAATAGGCCTTAAGTTAATGGATAATATTGAAATTAACTGTCAACTAAACTCAACGACTGGATTTGCAAGCCTAAATTCCCTTCTTCTCTATCACTTAATCGTAATTTGCTTTCTCAATTTTTCTCGCCACAGTTCACATGTGGCCTGGTAACATGTGGTGATCAATCAAAATTCTCATGTAAGCAGTGACGGATCTAGGATTCAAATAAATAAAAATGCCCACTTAGTGGGATTAATCCTTTTGAATTTTTATAGGGTAAATGAGTACACGTAATTTAAAAAATCCCAACATCCAAAACGCTAGTTTCATTTAACATTAGTAAAAGCAAGAAACAATGACATATAGGGGGAAATAGAAAGGATTCAAACGTTTTTTCATTGTGATCACACAACTGCACGCCTTCCCCATGGATGTACTAAAATTTCAACTAGGCTAAAACTGCTCCGAAAAGAAACCTTTGCACAAATCGCCTACACTCAACAACTCCCAACCACCACCGCAACCTACGTAGACGATCGGTGGCTCCCAAATATCCTCACACGTGTTTCTCCCGGACTCTGAAGGGTCTCAAGTCCGTATGTGGATCCACCTATGCATATAAGTGCCACGTCGCCAAGCATGGGCTTATCTATGCCTGCTTAAAAAAAAAGGAAATGTTCATACCATGTCTATTTAAAGGAAAGGACGAAAGTGAGGTGAAGTGCGACTAAATGAGACTAAATGGCAGTTTCGGGGGCAAATTAATTAATGATCCTTATGTAAGCTAGCAAACACCTAGGACTCGCCAAATTTTGTAATCGCAATACGATGGATCGTTCGTGGTTCGATGGATAATTTTTTTCTTTAAAATGATATTCTAAACACATTAATTTTACCTAGAAATGGAATTAAACTTTTGAGTGCATGAGAGCGGGCGAACAATGTCCTTACAAACTGGTCTAATTCACAGTTGCATGAGAGCGGGAACAATGTCTTTGAAAACTGGTCTAATTAACATCATCTGTCATACTGATTATTCGGCAAAGGAAAAGCACCTTACCTTGAAAATCACTTTCCGGTAGTTAATAAGCAGCAACTCGATGCCAGTCGAACTCGTCGAAACCTACTGGACTTAGGATACAACACAAAGATACTTGAATGTCGACGATCGGCAACTCGAAAATCACCTTATTTTCAAGGTCAGAAGACTCAACCGAGACAAGTAAATTGCAACTGCACTTCTACAAGATATGAGCAACAAATTTGTTTTGGTTAAACATGCACAGAACTCGTCCGTTGAAGTGCAAAAGAACGAGAGCGATTTATACAAGCAACTAAAAGCAGCTCGCTGGAACTGTCTGATACGGAGGATAATCAAGTGCTGATGAAGCTAGTTTCGGAGGCAGAGCTACGGGGCAACCGATGTAAGACGCTGGTTGGTGAGGAATTGGAGTTGGAAGAGGACCGCAGGGCCTCTGCAAGTGGTCCTCCCATGGACGCCATTTGGTTTGTTGCCCACCCAGCGGGCCAATTCAACTGTGGCTGCCCACGCTCGGCATGGCTGTCCTGGTGGCCTGGCTCGATCCCATTGCCAGTAGACAATTTCAACGATACATCCGATGAGGTATTTCCACGTATCGAAATGGAGAGGCTGGTGGCCGAGTTCATTGAGCTAGGTCTGCTTCCTGCATTGTCGAGTTCTTGGAGCTTCCCCGGCCAGTCATCAAAAAAAGGCCTCAAGACATGGCTGTCGGATTTCGCACTCGCAGAGAACTCACCGTGGGACTCGAAGAGGCTCCTGTTCTCAGGTTTGGATTCTGAAGAACTACAAGTTGACATGAAACAGTAGCAATTAAGAGCAAGAAATCAAAGTTGATATAAAAAATAAAAAAGGTATAAAGAGCATATGAATAGAGCATCATGTACTTTTAGGGCCCATGAGATTCCATCAATTCAAGGTTTGTCTCCAATAATAACACCAACAACAACAAAAGAAAAAGTGGTTTGGTGTGTGTGTGGGGGGGGGGGGGGGGGGGGGGGGAGGGGGGGGGGGGGGGGGGGGGGGGGGGGGGGGGGGGGGGGTGGGGGGAGAGGTTGGGGAGGGGGGTGGTGCGGCATCCTATAATTAAACTACCTGCTTACCTCGACAATGTTAGCGACAAACACTTTAAGAAAGACACTAAAAGAAACAAAACCCGCCACACAATAAAAATTAGGTATTTTTTCTTATGAGTGTTTGATTCGTGAAGTATTTCACAATAAGTACTGATTTGGTATTGAAATAATTTTATAAAAAGTAGGTATCAAAAAAGTTGAGCTCAAAAAAAATGTTTGGTAAACACTTAAAAACAGCTTATTTTCACAATTTTGGATGAAAAAAAAAAAAAAAAATTGAAAACGTAAAGCAGCAAAAATGAGATTATTCTCAAACCATAGCAGAAACAGTTTTTTTTCAAAGTATAGCAATACCAAACCAACCTTAACATTAGCCGTTGTCACTCGTCGGGACTACATTAATTGAAATTGACAAGTGATAACGGATAGTTTTAGTAGCATTCTTTAGTTTAAATTAAATTAAACCCAAAAAATAGCATTGGTGGTGTTGTTTACTACCTTTGGTTGAGATGAAGCAGATCAACTGAAGGGGATAATGAGGATCCAGAGAGAGCGAAATGAGCCCCACTAGCTGATGTATTGGTGGTGGTGGTGGTAGCAATATTAAGATTACTGCCACTCCCTCCGCCACAACCGGTGGTTGTCGTGGTGGTTGTGGTGGTGACTTCCACAGGCTTTCTTGAACGGTTTCTGCCACGGTGCACATGGCGCTCACAGTACTTCTGACCCGCCACCACATCTCTCGAGCACCGCCATTTCTTACCAGTCTGTCCTCCTGCACCTCGTCGGTTCCGGATCCATGGCAGCTCTTCCCCAATACCCTGATTGCAACACTGATAGATAATACACATTATGATTCAAGTCTCAAAAAACCTGGCCGTAGCCAAGTTGACTGGAGCAGGAGCAGGTTATGTACCCAAGTTCAAATCGCCCTCCTCTCGGTTTAGATTAAATTAGAATATAACTCCACTAAAATTAAAAAATTAAAACTCACACAAGTCTAAAATTTTCTTTTTTTGGTTCTTCCAAATCCAACCAAATGGCCATTGTTTTCTTAAAAAAAAATAAAAAAAAAAAAAAAAAAAAACAATATTCTAAACTACTGTAATTATAATAAATAAAATAAAATAAGGGTTCGAAGTGCAAAGAGACGAACACACTAGCCTAACCAAGGTCTGCAAATCAAATTGGCATTTTAAATAGATTCTCATTTGTGAAAAATCTTAATAACGAAATTTGGTTTGATTAAATTTTTGAGTTTAAGTTATACTTACAAGCAGGTTGAAAGTGAGGGAACTGTTGGAGAGGGTGGTGGAGGAAATAAGGAGCAGAACGGAGGAGGCTTTTCCTGATTGGCTGAAGAAGCTCAGAAGGAACAGCCGCACCGGCCGCCATGTACCTGAATATCAAAGCCTGCAGCTCCAGCTCCTGCCACTGTGACAAGCTGAAATAGCTTCCCATTTCTACAGAAAAACAAAAAACAAGAGTTCAAATTAAAAGAAGAGCTTTTTAAAAGTTAAATATAAAACTTGGAAAATTAGAAGAAAAGACCAGTCAAGAACATCAACTTTTCTATCCAAAGAATCAAACTTTTTCTTGTGTGTTGGATGTATGTGTGTGTGTGACAGAAGAAAGAAAAGGGAAGAAGAGGAAAAAATCTTACTGGGAAATCTGGAGGTGGCAGGTGAGGAATCAGAAAATGCTGACAGGATTTTGGTGTTGGGTTCAGATACAAACAGAGGGAGAGCATACCCAGCAGATGGATGCTCTGAGTTTTGATGGGGATCTAGGTCAAGTTTTGGTATCTTTGCAGAATGTTGTTCCTCTGACTGCTCCTGCTGCTGCTGGGTTTTCCATTGCTTAAGGTGGAAGTCCATCTACAGAGAGAGAGAGAGAGAGAGAGAGAGAGAGAGATGGGGTGGGGTTTAAGTTAAGTTTGTTTTTCTCCTATGATTTAGTTGTTGTTGGGTTTAAAACTTTAATGTGTTGGTTTGTTGGGTGTGGAAATTGGGTTTTTTGAAGTGAGAGAAAGCTTTTGGCAGAGGTTCTGACAGCAAAAGCCTGCAAAGTTTGTTTAAAGGGCTGTGAAGAAGCCTGAGGCACTTGAGGAAAGACAGACAAGACAATGGAGAGGTAAAATAATTAAAATAATCCAAAAAAGAGTTTTAAAATTAATTAAAAATTGGAAGAAAATAGATAGCTAGAGCCAGTGAGTAGTGACTAGAGAGAGAGAGAGAGAGAGAGAGAGAGGAAGAACACCTGCAGTCTTTTTGTCTCACTGCAAATGCTTTGGAAATAGCAGAAGGGTGTTTTATTAGGCTTGATTTCATTTCCATTAATCTAATTAAGCTACGTATACATAACATAAGACCCAAGATCCATTTGCATGGTATAATTAGAGAGAGAGAGAGTAGAGAGACTTGCATTGGCATTTGCTGCCGACCTCCTTTATCACTCGCCCTTCAAAGTTCACATTCTTTTCTTTACAGTGCAAGTATTGTAAAAAGCATTCTTCTAATTTTTCTTCAATAGTTTGAAATTACGAGAAGGTTTGGCAAAATACAATTTTATGAAATCGAAAGGGAAAGACTGTTTAAAAAGTAGGACTGTTAAGCAAGTTGAACTATCAATGAATTTACTTAAGTATATATTCTCAAAATATTTATACATTTGGAATGTTGTTGTCATCACCACCATCATCGTTGTCGTTGTACCCCCTAATAACACTGCAATAGTCACCATTACCGCTGCAACTACTGCTCCCTTACACCCTAACCACCACATCCACACCATTGTTGTTGCCATCATGTACCATTACACCTGCCACTGATGTCGTAGCCACTACTCATGCTATCTTGTTCATTTTTAGCATTGTATACAAGTATATCATTTTCTTATTAAGAATATTATCAAAAGCTTTTACACTGTTTTTATGCTCACAACACTTTTAAAAATACAGTTTATTAAAACTTTCAATTCTTTATTTTACAATTGATTATTCGTAAATTACAATAGAAGCAATTTGATAAAAAAAAACACACACACACAATAATTCCAAACTGGGTCTACGTAAGTTGACCTATCGGTGAATTTATCAAGTATTGTCAAAACATTTAAATGTGTTTAAGTTTATCTAAGAAATATAACTTCTTTTTTTTCAAAAAAATAAATAAATACAAATATTACTTATGAATGGTATTACAGTTGACTGATATTTGTCTTATTTTCATTTTATAAGTAAAAACTTGCATTTTATATGTTTGTAAGTGGTATGATCTATATTTAATTATAGTTTACTTATTATGTAAATTAGTTACCAACTCATAGTCCTTTTAGTGTAATGCTAGGGAGACCAAATTTTGAAAACTAAATCTACAAACTAAATAACGTGTCACCAATAAGAATAAGCAAGTTTATCAACATGTAAATAATAAATCAATCATCAACTTTTATATTATTTAGTTTTCAAAATTTTTCCTATAAATTTAGTCTCTCTAACATTACTTATCCTTTTATAAACTCTTTTTTAACTAATGAAATTAAATACTCATACATTTCCTTTTTTGGTTACAATTGGCCCAAGCGGGAAGGGAAATTGAAAACTCCGCAGGTACTCATTTTATACTATTCTCTTATAACATTTGTCCTTTTTCTGTAAATTTTAGATTCTATATTTATTGCTTTTAACACATGAAGAGATCTCAATTATTCAAATGGAAGAACTACTACAATTTTGTCCTTTCGTTTGAGATCATTTGAACAAATTTAATAGCGTGCATGCATGTACAAATCTCTGTGAAAAAAAATTTAAATAAAAGAGGTATCTCACTACACAAGCAGACTATCTTCTTACACATATAGCTACGATAACGCATGAAGGGGTATCGTATCTCTGACTTCCAAGTCAAATAGTATACCAAAGAAAAGCATATGACGTCAAAAAATCGCTTCCATAAAAGTTTGAAGTCATTTATCAGTATGATAACATAAAACAGTAGCGTATTTCTGGCTTCTGAGTCACCTATCCGTAAAGTATTTTATGTAAGTAAGACAATCAGTTAAAAGTTGAAAGAAGTAAACAAGAGGGAGCAAGCAAGCAAAAGAAGTAGAACTAGAAAGTGCTGGGTAGGGGTGCATTCGCTTTCCCTTTTACCCAACCAAGCAGGAAGCAGCTGTCTTCCTCCTTCTCGTCCTTTCATTTTGTTCTTTTTTCTGTGTTCGTTGTGATGCGTTGGACTGACTTGACCAACTTACTATTTACAACAGTGTCGACATGACAACTCAATTCCAACACAACACAATTGACACCTACTCTCCCACTCCTAGCGTACTACTAATCCTTTGACAAAAATTTCCAACTTGCCCAATGCATGCATTATATTCCAGCCTACCTACTCGGTCTTCTTTTTGACAGATTCTCTCTTCCAAGGAGACGAGAAATATCGGAAGACTTTCTCAAAAAGATGCTCTCAGTTATTTTACAGTTTATTGTCAATTTTCATATTAATATTATAAATATTTTACAAAAAATATGAGATATCATAAAGTTTACAGAAAGTTATACTTTTGAAAAGTGTCTTTAACATTTCTTTTTAGTGACATTATCTTTCTAATAAAATATTTATCACGTGTTTAAAGGTACATTACTTATTTAACTTGTTACATATAATGTATTTAGTTAGTTATAAGTTAATCTTCGGTTATGTAAGGTCAAACATAGCCCTTATCTATGTTTTAGCCTCTCAAACATTACTATCTTAAGAAAATGTCATAGTTTATTTCGTTTGGGATGCGCGTATTGGGGCTTGTCAAGGGGTTTTAGGGATTGTTATGTACCCAATCCTTTAGCTAAGTTTATTCATTAATTTTTTTTAGTCTTGTCTGAAAACGAATTTCGCCCAAATTCAAGTTAAAAGTGACATATAGCCCTTGACTAGAGATAACCTAAGTGAGTTATTTCTTTCATTTCTTCCACCAAATTTTACATCTATGCTCCCAGAAATTTAGACGTTGTATTTTGATCCCTAAACTTTCAATTTCTTTTTGGACTTCCACAAACTTAAAATTTTGGTACATTACATTTTAACTGGGAGAAAAAATCATGATCCCATGTCTTTTTTCTGTTTTCTGTTTTCTGTTATTCAAACTTCATAGAGCTCAGAGGCTTTGCCTGCTCTACAGTATCTTTACAACTTTTACAACTAAACCAAACTCGTATACAGTTAACTATGTATATACTTGCACGGCGATTTTCTTCTTTCTTTTTTTTCTCTGCTCCCTCCACTCTCACAAATTTTTTTTCTTCTTTCTTTCTCTACACAAATAAAATCGTGAGCGTTTAAACAGAAAAAAAAAAAAGAAGGAAAGAGTAAAAAAAAGAATCTTTCTATTTTCAGACTTATTATCGAATCAAAGCACGCTTTTTGTTCATAATTTAAACTAGGTTAATCATGGTTAATGATGAGCCTCAAGACCAGCAGATTTATAGGTAATTTGGTTGTTGTGGTGCCAGTCAACTCAATGAAAGCCATTGCTGAATGAATGGTGATGATGAACATCATATGTCTCCTGCAAAAACTCCGTAAAACGGATGAACAAAACCAAACTACGAATATTATTTATTTTAAGACATAATTACAATGATACCCATAAATAATAAAACAAAAGGAAAATAACTTTTCTATTCCTTTTTTGCTTCATACAAGCAATTTTTTTTCCCACAACATGTTGAAAAAAATTGTATTCAATTTCTCATGTAATTTTCACGTAAGAAGAGTGACTATGATTAAGGCTAGCTGAGAATTTGGAGGTCCTAGACAAGTCTTCGAAGTAAGGCTCTACAGTTATTTAACCTCTGACTCTTTGTACATTGATATGTATAAAAAATTTCCAAAATACATGAAAATGTCTATTTTTACATTAAATATCATTAAAATTAATATTAAAAAAAAAATACACAAACATTACTTAAATATTAGACGTCTCGCATTTTAAGACACAAATGTACTAATTAAGTTTACATAATCTAAATTTTCAACCAATTTTTTTTACAATTGCTTATGATTTTATTTTTTTATATTGTTATTGAATTTAAATTGTAAAAATTTATACATATATAAAATTTGGGGCCTTTCCAAAGTGAGGGTCCTAGGCGGACGCCTACTTCGGCTACCTTCAGAGACAGCCTTGACAATGAAAATGTTTTATGCAGGCAACATGTTGTAAGAAAGTTTGGCTAGATTGCATGTCATATTGTCGCAACAAAGAGAGAGAACTTAATTACAACGGAGTATCTCAAAGATTAAATTAAGTAAGTTATGCATTTAAACTTTTTTCAAGTAAAACATGCATTAATGACAAGTCAATAGGTAAAGCATTTCTTCTTATACTTCCCTAATCCCATATTCTTAAATTGTGTTACATTTTAGGACATGATCAAACCAACAATGTTCTAAAAATGTTTTTATTTTATATTTTTTTAAAATAAATCAATAAGTCTTTTATGTTGTAAGAAAAACATGGATAAAGGAAATTGACGTGGAGTATGTGTGTTTGAGGTAGAACATTCCCCTTCTGCTGCAAATTCAATAGCCGCTTCTCCTTCTACCCAATCACTAATAGACACGCATCTAAATTATAAAATTGTAGTTGAACATTAAATACGTGTCTATTTGTAATTAAATAAAAGTGAAAATTACTACTAAATTTGCAGTAGCTGAGTAGCGTTTTATTCCACTCCAGAAACCCCAAAGCCAGTTTTGTTTGGGAATTTTGAAAGTTTCTGAGGGGCACATTTGTCAACCCACACCACACTTAACACCCACAGCCCACTTGCCAAAAAGGCATCTGGGATCCAGTACGGATCTGGGCGGGGCCATCATAAGCTATCCACGTCATCTAGTTCGTCTTCGTCCGGGATATTATACAAAAATTCAAATTAATTAAAATAAAAATGTAAAAAAATAAGTGTGGTCACATGTCTGAGGAGGAACGCGTTACTGACACAAAATATCAAAAAAAAAGCTTCAGAGACAGCTGCTCACGTGGTTTTGGAGACTTTTTCAATATTTTCAGTAGGATAAAGCAGGGCACGTCGGCACGCCAGGCCTCACGTGCCT